TATATACCCTATTATTAATATATGTGCCTCCATTCATCCATTGCACTGAGATTTGAGTTCCTCCTCCCTCAGGTCTGACTCTGCTGGTGCCGTACCTGCTCACCAGGAGAAAACGCTGGCGCCTCTGCAGGGTCCGGGTCTTCATCGTGGGCGATGAGGACAACATGGAGGCAGGACGCAACGCGTACGTTCTCACTGTTTCACCGCCTTGAAGGAGCCAAACGCTTTTCAGTTCCTCTTCTTCCAATTTCCCTGAGCTACGAAACGAATCATCAATTTCATTTATCATTTTTTACGTCCTCACATCGGCCGAGCTTTAGTATTTTAACATTTTAACATTTTACATTTTTTTCAATTTTACACGGACATTGTTGCAGGACAGTACGTGACCTGGTGTTCTGTTAAATCGTTCTGTGATTTTAGGATGATCTCATTGCTGAGGAGGTTCCGTCTGGATTTTGATGACGTCATCGTGATGACAGACAGCGAGAAGCCTCCGCTCGCCAAGAAGTATGTCCACAAAAACACACACACACACACACTAACACACACACACACACACACACACTCCATGTTATGATCACACACAATCTTAAGATGAATTGGTTTTAACTTTTCACTTTTTGCAACATCGTTAAAATAAATCCATCTTTATCTAACGAGGTTAAAGGTCACCATGCAGAATTGACTCTTGCGTTTCAAACTGACCCGGGTCCTGTTTGTCTTTTTGCACCTCAGCCTGAGTAGGTTTGAAGACAGTGTCGCCCCCTTCAGGCTGCATGATGAACAGCAGCAAGACGTCTCAGTTCAGGAGTTAAGGGCCCCGGGGAAGATATCTGACAAGGAGTTTGAGGCCTTCAAACTTAAGGTGTGTGTGTCTGTGTGTGTGTCTGTGTGTGTGTCTGTGTGTGAGAGAGTGTGTGTGTGTGTGTTTCCCTGTTTTGTGTAACTTGTGCTTCTCACAGACCTGCACTGAACTCTGGACGTTTGACCCGAACAATCTCCTGCTGCGTCCTTCGTGTGTGAAAGACAAACTTTGGAGAATGTCCGGAGACAAGCGCTTCAGTGTCCGTGTCTCACTTTGTTTCCTCCCCCCACAGTCGGAGAGAAAAGTGCGGCTGAACGAAATCATCCGGAGGAATTCACAACATGCCGCCCTCGTGCTTCTGTGAGTGCACTTCACACACTTCACACACTTCACACGTTTCACACGTAGATTCAGGCGAGTGAATCAGGTGTCTTTGTTTTCGGTGTGAAACACAGCGTGCACGTGTTTTTGTTGCAGGTCAAGTGAAGGCACCGTTAGTCAGAGAGATTAGTTATTATCATATATAATAATAAAACCTCATTTCCTCAGACGTTTCTTCACAGATCCTTCGAGCCCTGATTGTCTCTCATGTAACTTTCATGTCAATGCCGTGTTCAGGAGCCTCCCGGTGCCTCCCAGTGATTGTCCCAGTGCTCTGTACATGGCCTGGCTGGACACTCTGACCTGCGGCCTGCACTGTCCCGCAGTCCTGATACGAGGGAACCAGCAGAACGTCCTCACGTTCAACTGCCAGTAAAGACTGAGTCAGAGCGATGGACGACTCTCACAGACACGGAAGGTTTGAGATACGAAGTCACAGCGATGGGAACAGAGGGAACAGAGAGAACAGAGAGAACAGAGGGAACAGAGAGAACAGAGGGAACAGAGGGAACAGAGGGAACAGAGAGAACAGAGGGAACAGAGGGAACAGAGGGAACAGAG